TATTATACACATTGTCTCTTTATATCATATAAGCAGATAGGGTAAACATGTTCACAGAATTATTTAAGTCTGGATTCACTAGAATTTTAGAATCTGACAAATATGCAATGTATTGTGGTTGCTGGCTTTTAAATAGCCTGTAGACTTAAGATACCAGGCACTGTCAGCATGAATGTTGATCATGTTTTTCAGGATTAACTTGGGAAACTAAGCTCTTTACACCTGATGGAGTGGGGATTTTCTTGTGTTTTAGAACAACTAATAGGGCCATTACAGTCAAGCTAATACCCACTAGCCTGTGACAGCTTTCTGTATATAATAGACCAAGAGCCAGTCCTGTGGTTCAGAGAGACTGTTGGTTAAGATCCCTCCAACACTGCTACCATTTTTTTTTTTTTTTTTTCCTGAGATGGAGTCTTGCTCTTGTTACCCAGGCTGGAGTGCAATGGCGTGATCTCGGCTCACTGCAACCTCCGCCTCCGGGGTTCAAGCAGTTCTCCTGCTTCACCCTTCCAAGTAGCTATGATTACAGGTACAAGCCACCACACTTAGCTATTTTTTTAATTTTTTAGTAGAGGCAGAGTTTCACCATGTTGACCAGGCTGGTCTCAAACTCCTGACCTCATGATCCTGCCACCTCAGCCTCCCAAAGTGCTGGGATTACAGGCGTGAGCCACTGCACCCAGCCCCTGCTACCATTTTTGAAAGGAGCTATTAATTTTGCAAGAATATAGCCAAGATCTCCTGGAAAGTTAGGTGTACAGGAATGTCTGACTGCAGTGTGAGAATAAGAGGTCTACAGTCATCCAGGCATAGACTGAGACACATAGCATATACTTGATCACTAGGTTCCTGTCTCTCCCTCCCACCTCAGGGCCATACCTCCAGTAGAGATTCAGAGAAGGCCATTCTTCAAAGGGGAAAGTTCCTCCTGAGCACTCTGGAGGGATTTAGAAGTGCCTGCAGGTGAGGGGCCCTCTGCGGATGAAGTAATAGAATGGAAGGTATGGCTGGAAGGGATTTAGACAATGAGTGAAGTTCTAGAGGCAGCACTTGATTTCTGATACTCTTCTGCATGGCAAAGAGGACTTTGGCTGGGGTGGGGTTTGGGGGTATGTGGAGGAGGCTTGAGGACAGGCAGCTAGGGGTAGTACCTTTCTAAAGATTACCACCTTGTGGAGTTTTTGCTGCTGTGCCATGAGGTTGTGTCTTATTCACCTTTGTTCCCCACCACCCCCCAGCTAGCTTAGCACTATAGGTATTCACTGAATGGTTGTTGAATTAATTCAGTTTACATTAACAAATGTTTGTTGTATCTACTGTGTGCCATGCCTGATGCTAGACGGTGGGGCTAGAAAGAAAAGTCAGAGTGGCTCCTGCCCACAAGGAGCTCACAGTCTCTTGGGGAAGAGATGCTTTTTTGTATATATGTGGGATTTGTTAGGTTTTTCAAGAATATGAGGAAAGTATTCCAGATAGAACAACATATTTAAAGGCAAAGAGATGGAAAAATAGCAAATAGCATGGCATATTCAGAGAAATACATACAATGGGGTGGAAGTACACATAGTTGAGGGAAGGGGTGGGGAACAAGAATCTGGAGGGATCAAATCCTCTCCTCATTGTGGTCTATTGAATTTTCTCCCGATCTGATAATAGAGATACTTTTCCTGGACCCTGAGCACAGATACTCCCCACCATCCCCTAGGAGGGTGTTTGTAATCTTTAGATTGCAGAGGTGGTAGTGGATATACTCACACATTGATTTCTTAGGTTGGCTATAGAATTCCAGAGTGAGCCTTCAGCCCAGGAGAATCCATTCACAGCTCCCAGCGCCGAGAAGAAAGACACCTTGGAGGACTTCTCAGAATTTCTTCTCAGTGCCTGTGACTCGATGTGCATCCCCATGGTGATGGTGGGTTGCCCGGGGCCATGGGCAGCAGGAAGCTTAGGGAAGAGAGGAATGTGCAGGCGAGCCAGGCTCAGAGGCATGAGGCAGTAACTGCTCAAAGGAACCTCCTCTGTGGGCCTCAGCAGTGCTATTCTTGCAGCCACCTTTCCTTTGTCTAAAAATAAAATGTAGTGTTTTATTATGAAACTAACAAGTACCTCTTAAGAAAAAATAAGCCGGGTGTGGTGGCTCATACCTGTAATCCCAGCACTTTGGGAGGCCGAGGCAGGCGGATCACGAGGTCAGGGGTTTGAGACCAGCCTGACCAACATGGTGAAACCCGGCCTCTACTAAAAATACAAAAATTAGCCAGGCGTGGTGGTGCACACCTGTAATTCCAGCTACTTGGGCGGCTGAGGCAGGAGAATTGCTTAAACCCGGGAGGCGGAGGTTGCGGTTAGCTGACAGTGTGCCATTGCACTCCAGCCTGGGAGACAGAGGGAGACTCTGTCTCAAAAAAAAAAAAAAAAAAAAAAAAAAAAGAAAAGAGAAAATAGAAAGCAATAATAATCAAATAATTAACGGGTAAGTTTATGGAGTAATTAGTGCCTTATATTCACTACCTGATTTAGTTCTCTCAATGATCCTGGGAGATTGATGCTATAATTTTCTCTAATTTACTGATAAGGTTGTCATATTTCTATAGTTATAAAACAAGTGCATAATGGTGCTGAGATTGAACCTATGACTTCAGGTCCCCTAGCTTTTCTCGTGTCTTTCTTTTCATAAGGAGTAGCAGTGAATGTCTGTTACTCAAGTGTTAATAAGGAACACGTATGTGTGTTCTGTAAAATGAGAGATGACCACTCTGAAGAGAGGCTTGGTCCTGAAGAGCTTCATTTTGAGCCAACTTGAGGTTGAGATGTTGGGAAGAGCAGGGCCAAGAGCTGCTGACTCTGGGTAACCTTGGGTGAGTCCTCTTCTGCATGAGGTTTGGGCATCCTATGAGCCTGTGAGGAGTCCCCTGTTAATCTGAAAATGGTCTACTGGGAACAGTAGGCGGCAGCAGGGAGACATCTCTGGCTCTGCATGAACGAGCCTCTCTTCCTTGAAGAAGCCATTGAGTTGGAGTCTGCAGGAGGTAGTGGTCAGGAACCCTGACTGTGGCCCTGACTTAACCTACCAACAGTAAGACTTGGGCAATTCATGGTAGTTTACTCACCTGCTCTGCCTTCTTCCTAGATTTTTGAAGTGTTAAAGCTAAATCTAAAATTAGATCATAGAATTATTGTATTATTCATTCTTTCTACTTTTCTGTATTTTATACATTTCCTTTAATGAGCATATATTACTTTTATAATAATAATAATAGAAAAACACAACCAAACTTCCTCTAAAAATGAAAGGAAAGGTATCAACAAGAACAATGCCTCTGAGGACCCAGCTGTTTACAGAAAGGGAACTGAGACCCAGGGAAGGGAGGAGGTGACTACCCAAGGGTACATTGTGGTGGCTACATGCAGAGCCTGAAGTAGAACCCTGTTTATTTTTTCCTGATTTAGAGCTGTGGCTAACACATCAAACTGCCTCATGACTCTGTTGAAGAATTACATGAACGGTAGTCTGAATGCAATGATTTACAACTAATTGATAACAACAAGTTACAGATTTCTTTTTTCATTCTCTACTGCCCCTGCTTTACTTGACCAACCTTAAAAATAATAACAGGCCGGGTGCGGTGGCTCACGCCTATAATTCCAGCACTTTGGGAGGTCAAGCTGGCAGATCACTTGAGGTGAGGAGTTTGAGACCAGCCTGACCAACATAGTGAAACTCTGTCTCTACTAAAAAAAACAAAAATTAGCTGGGTGTGGTGGCGCATGCCTGTAATCCCAGCTGCTCAAGAGGCTGAGGCAGGAGAATCAGTTGAACCTGGGAGGCAGAGGTTTCAGTGAGCCAAGATTGCACCACTGCTCTCCAGCCTGGGCAACAGAGTGAGATTCTGTCTCAAAACAAAACAAAACAAAACACAACCCCCCCAAAAAATAACAAATATGAAGGCAGTTTATAAACTGTATTATTATTACTGTAGTAATAGAAACATGAGAGTCATTCTGCATTATGGTATAGAAAACACTTTTTTTTTTTGAGATGGAGTCTCACTCTGTAGTCCAGGCTGGAGTGCAGTGGTACAATCTTAGCTCACTGTAGCCTCTGCCTCCCAGGTCCCGGTTCAAGCAATTCTCCTGCCTCAGCTCCCCGAGCAGCTGGGATTACAGACATGTGCTACCACACCCAGCTAATTTTTGTATTTTTAGTAGAGATGGGGTTTTACCATGTTGACCAGGCTGGTCTTGAACTCTTGACGTTGTGATCCACCTGCCTCGGCCTCCCAAAGTGCTGGGATTACAGGCATGAGCCTCTGCGCCTGGCCAGAAAGCACTTTTTATGCACCAGACCACATTTGTTTCTGGGACGTATATCTTGTTATTCCAATTTTACTCTTTTGGGAACAGAAGCCCAAAGAGATAAAGTATCTGGCACAACCTATTAGGTGAGCCAAGCCTTAGATGTAGTTTTGTACTTTAGGTTCCCTAGCTTTTCTTGTGTCTTTCAAGTGAAAGGAGTTAAGCTACTGTGCTAGATTTGATGCTAGTTTTCGCTGATGCCTTTTCTTCTTCAGAGGCTCAGTCCGGGTGGTCTATGTTCTCTCTCCTGGTTCTTTGCAGAGACACTTGGAGCAGACCACCCAGCCAGCTCTGATGGAAGTTTTCCTTTCAATTCTACACAGCCTCTTTATCATTGTTCCTCACATGAAGGAGAAGTTTTCCAAGAAGCTTGGTAGGCAGCAGGCAAATGTGGAGGTTGGGAGGGAAGCAAGCAATTTAGGCAGTGCTCACAGTATTCAAAGAGAGCATGAGTTGTGGGTGCACATTTCCTAATTCATTCAGAATTTATATCCATTCTCTGTTCAGTGTTAAGGGGAAGGAAATATCAGGCAGCAATCAAAAGTAATTAAAAGGACTCGGAATGGTGGCTCATGTTTGTAATCCCAGCACTTTGGGAGACCAAGATGGGAGGATCACCTGAGGCTAGGAGTTTGAGACCAGCCTGGACAACACAGTGAGACCCCATCTCTACAAAAAGATTAAAGAAAAATAGATGGAAGTTGTTAATAATGTTAACTAGTTATTAATAATAACTAACATTTAAGTTCTTACAGTGTGTGAGACGTTGTTTTAAGTGCTTTGCATGTACTGACTCATTTAGTCCTCAGAAAAACCCTAGGAATTATCTATTATGATTATACTCACTCTATTGATGAACAAACTGAATCTCAGAGAGGTTAAGTAACTTGCCCAAGGTTATACTGTAAGTGATATGCCCAGGATTCAAACCCAGGGAATCTGGCTGTAGAACATGCTTGCTTTTTTTTTTTTTTCTTTCTTT